TCCTGGCGCTGCCGCTCCTCCTCATCCCTTACGATCGAAGCGTCTCCCTATCTGCCAACCCCCCCCCCTCACATTAGGGCTCCGTTTCCTGTAGGTCTTGTGTTTCAATTAGCGGCTCAGCTGGATCACACCGCTATCGACTGGAGATATTTACACAGGATCCCCGCCTTCCGGACCAGCTCCCCGTCATGCATTTTTAACCAAAGCCAGGGCAGGACCCCCCCCCCCAAAAAATCATCTCTCAGAGCTGTCAGCGGAGTCTTGCGGCCGTCAGCGCGGACAGTGGCGGCTTCCCTAGTGGCACATGAACAGAGAACCTGTGTCATCCTTACTGAACAGTGCTGGCTGCACCGGCCCCCACGACTTTCTCGTGTCTCCGTGGTCATCGCTGTCGCCATGCCCGCCCCCGCCCGTCCTCCCCACGGCCGCGTGCCTCTCTTTCATCTAACCCTCTTTATTCCCCCTTTCCTTTCCGGGTCGGCTCCCTGTCTCTTGATGAGGAGCCCCTCTCCTGCTCACAGCTTTTGCACGGCATCCTGGCATTGATTTGCAGCGACTGTCCATCTGTACTTTGGGTCCGGGCCGGCGCCGGAGCGATGTGTGCTGCCGCCCTGATAGCAGGACCCCAGACCTGTAGCGGTTTGGTACGTGTGGGGGGGGCACCCCAGAGTCTCCGTGCAGCTGCTGTGTATAAATTAGCCATGATAAATGAGCGACTTGTTTCTTCATTAATTTCCTGGTGCTGGAATTAAGTGCAGGATGGCAGCTGGTGCTGAGATCCGCAGGCCTCTGCTGGTCCGGCTGCCCGGGGGGGGGGGTTGGGACCGGTACCGGTGCCGGGCTCGGCGGTGCTGGCTGTGCGCTGGACTGTTTGACGTGAATGTGGTATGAAAAAAAAGACTGCCGGGGACCCCCCCCTTCTCTCCCAGCCTTCCTCATTCTGTCTGTCTCTCCCAGCAACACCCCCTAGTTATTCTGTCTGCCCCCCATCTTGCTTTGCCCCCCCATCTCTGCCCCTTGGCCAGCTGCTGTTTATCTTCCTTCTCACTCTCCTCCGTCTGTTCCCTCATCTCTCCCCGTCTCCCATCTCCTCTCTGTCCCCCCTTTTTCTCTCTCCCTTTGTTGCCCCTTTTGCTCCTGCCCCCTGCCCCCACCTCGGCACCCCATTCTCTCTCCCTCTGCTCCCCTCACCTCCATTCCCCGCCGTTCCCCCCTCCCCACTCTCGCTCTGTGTGTCCCCAGAGCACGGCCTCGCACACAGCTGCAGGGAGAAGCCTGCTAAATGACAGATCGTTATCATACTAATTAAGCCACTTTGTAGCTCCCGTTCACCATTGCCCTGCTCATTAGCGGTGCGCTCGGTGAAATTGGATGGCATTTATTGCACAACGCGGGTTGCTAAGGCGTGCGCCGGCGGGCTGGCGATGGCGGCGGTGGTCGTGCCGCACACGGGGTCAGGCTGCCGCGGACCCGCTCCGCTTTGTTCTCCCGCCAGCGGCTCGGCAGGGCAGCCCGCGTCTGATCGGCAGCCGTTTAGACGATCTCGAGAACAAGGCCGTGGATCACTCGTGAAGAATTACGCCTGTCTGAGTGTGTTCTTAAATCCAGTTAAGCGTGTTTTTCAGCTTCATGTGAGCTGCGGCTCTTGGGGGGGGGGGGTCCGTACAGCCTGGCCTCTGGGTTCTTATCAGCTAACGTTACGTTGCTGCCCATGGCGAGGTTTCAGGTGCACCGTTATCAGGCTCTGGAGAGCTTGCCCCCCCATCCTGTGACTCGACCCCAGGGGGGAGGGGGGGCTCGCCTGTCAGGACACGGCGTATCGGCAGAGCCGTGATAACAGCACAGCCGCGTAGATACGCTCGCGCCTGCCGCATGCCGCCGGCTTATCTCATGCCGCATGATGGAACGCTCATTGTTACTCCGGCAACTGGGGTCAGGGGAGGTCACAGCGCCGCTCGGGGAACCTGTGGTGCTGTAGGCCCAGGCCGGCCCTCACACGCTGCAGCCAGGGGCCTCTTCTTCTGACGCTTTGAGCCGAAGGTGGCAGGGAGGCTACCAGACTGGGGGTTCGGGGCAGGATTAGGGGTATGGGGTATGGTACAGGGGCACCTACTGTACTGTACTGTACCTCAGAGGGGCATCAAGGGGAGCAGAGCCAAGAGCTAGGGGCCAATGGGGATGATGTTTCACAGATGAGCCGCGTTGGTATGTGACGGGGGGGGGGGGGGGGTGTCATTGCCATGGCAGCAGAAGGAAGATGTCTGGAACACTGGGGTCTAAATGACGCAACGCGGCTCCTCGTTCTGCAGGGCTCTTCAAGGGTGTGGAGGGGACCCACCCTGCAATCTCAGGCATGCCTGTCCACTGTCCCACATGAGGGGTCCTTCCAGCATTAACCCCCCCCAAGTCTTT